ATTCGCTATGTGCTTTATATAACATCAGTCATTAAAGATGCATGACCACCAGAAATGTGGCTGAGGGCAGTTATTATAAGGACTGAATGGACTAAAGTGCTCAGAACAGGGCCTGACACTTAATAAGGACTTGATACGTGCTCGTCATTTTTATTAAAATGCATATATTAAAAATGTTAGTCAAATCTGACACAGCACATCTTTTCTTCATAAAGATTTGTTTTTAAAATTAAAATGATTTTATAAAACATAATATGTATTTATGAAAGCATTGGTTAAAAGGAAATTTTTGTTAGGTTTTCCTCCATCTTAAGGGTTTCTAGGCGGTTCTCATTGAATTACAGGTACAAGGTATATGAAATGCGTTTTGTAAACACAAAGATAACAAAGCAAAAGAACATCTGAGAGAGGGTTGGGCCACAGTTGGCAATAAAAAATCACATTCACGAAAGGCTGCTATGTGCCAGGTGCCTGATTGATGCTAGTGATAAACATAAATGATCAGCTCAAGCCCCATCTTTATTCTAAGGAGGGTTAGAGTCCAGTAGGAGAAAGGCAATTAACTGATTAAAATACACCGAGTCTTGGCCTGGCCGAGTGGCTCAGTTGGTTAAGAGCTCGCTCAAGAGTGTGAGCTCTGAGCAACAGTGGTCGCCGGGTTGATTCCCTGCCCGAGCTGAGCTGCCAACAGGAGGCAGGATGGCTCAGCTGAAAAAAATAAAATAAAATAAAATACACCATGACTTAACTGATTTAATTTATATACACCCATTAGCAAGTATTTTTGTAGTGAGTTTCCAAATAAAAGGGAAAAGGTATTTACTAAGACACAGGCAAATTGTTCTCTCACAAGAGATGATGAAATATGACATGTTGCCCCCATAAGCAAGAGCATTAGTCTCCTGTCCATCTGATACTCATTATCTATTTACTTTTTCAGATCATTAAGGCAATGACATAACTTGAAGGAAAAAAAAATAATATGGGCTTAGAGTCTTGATACTGAGATTAGGTAACTTCAGCAAATTATTTAAAGTTTTTGAGTCTTAATTTTCTCCTGTATAATAATGGGAGATAACAAACTACTTTGCTGGCTCATTGTAAAGATTAAAGGAGAATAATATTATTATTGTTATATAAACTTAAATGTATGTAAAACTTTAAAACAATTTAAATCAGGGAGGAGCTATATAGTTATTTAAGAGCTCACTATGGAATCTGACTGAATTTCTTGTAGATTTTAAAACATATTCTGCAAACCAGCCACTCTTGGGAAGCACAGCATTATATATCTTGTTCACCCACAGTGAGGCCACCAGCCAGCTGTTTAGACCAACCAAGCACATGGCTAATCAATTCGTGGGACTAAATTGATTGTTCTGTTTGACCTGCTTGACCCACTGGACTCCAGGGTCTCCAGACCTGAGTGGCCATGGTGGAAGGCACAAAAGAGAGAGAAGGGGCAGATCAGTAAAGAATTCGGAATTTCAAACAACTGAGTGGTCAGAAGTGGGAGTGACAAGCTCAGCTCTGGGTCTTTCTACCCCATGTTGTAAATATACGCATACAGCCAACCTCTCCAAATGGCTCCTTCTAGCTCTACACTTAATCTTTATAATTAATAAGTCATGTAGTTCAAAATGATGTCAAGTGGAATCCTAGAAGTCTGAATGGAGTTGATTATTGTCAATTAATTGAAACAAATGATAAAGTTGGTGATAATGGTTGTTTATATTCTTTTTCCTAGTAAAAAGTCAGCAGGGAATCATGGCAAGAACATGCTTCAATTTATAAAGGGGGTTCTCATTTTGACTCAGTGGGTTCCTTTCAGAGAAGCCATCTGACCCCTTTCAGCTAATATCTTCTCAGATGTCAAATGAGAAAGAGAGATGACTGAAGGATCCTTCTTGATCTAATAATGACACTGGATATGCTAATCATCTGCACATCTACTTTTGGTAAAACCTCATGCCCCAGATTTCACTCCAGCCATGCTGGACGGCCCGCAGAATGTATGATTATGCTTTCTAGACGCACTGTCAGATGGAACGTGACTTACCACCAGTGTGCTAGAAAAGAGCTGCAAAATGCCGTAGGAGGAGCCTGCAAAAACAATCNAATCCAATAGATTAAAATTTCTCATTGCTCCAATGTGACGTTCTTTGATTTCTATTGAGATGAAACTTTTCCAACATTATTTTTTTCTTTGTTTTATTGATATAACTGACATACAAAACTGTATAAGTTTAAGGTGTACAGCATGACTTAACTTATATATATTGAAAAATAATTACCACAATGTTAGTTAACATCCATCATCTCATATAAATAAAAAAGAAAAAAAAATTTTTCCTTGTGATGAAAACGTTTAGGATTTACTCTCTTAACAACTTTTAAATATACCGCACAGCAGTGTTAAGTATAATCACCATACTGTCTATTACATCCCCAGTACTTACTTATCTTATAACTGGAAGTTTGTATCTTTTGACCACCTTCACCCAATCCACTCACCCCTGCCTCTGGTAACCACACATCTGATCTTTTTCTCAAAAAACTCATTTAAAATATAGGCTCATTAAAAAATCAGTTTCTTATTCCTTTATAAAGAGTCCACATATAAGTGAGATCATACTGTATTTGCCTTCTTCTGCCTGACTTAATTTACTTAGCGTAAGGCCCTCAGGGTCCATTCCTGTTGTCACAAATGGCAGGATTCCCTTCTTTTTACGACTGAATAGTATTCCACTGTGCACATATGTACTATGTTTTCTTTATCCATTCATCTGTTGATGGACACTTAGGTTGTTTCCATGTCTTGGTTGTTGTGAATAATGCTGCAATGGACATGCAGCAGGCAAGGACCTCTTTCGCATAGTGTTTTCATTTCCTTTGGATGAATACCCAGGAGTGGAATTGCTGGATCATAAGGTAGTTCCACTTTTAATTTTTTGAGGAACCTCCATACTGTTTTTCATAGTGGTTGCACCAGTTTACATTCCTACCAACAGTGCATGAAGGTTCCCTTTTCTCCACATCCTTGCTAGCATTTGTCATCTCGTCTTTTTGACAATAGCCATTCTGACAGGTGTGTGGTGGTAACTCACTGAGGTTTTGATTTGCATTTACCTGATGATTAGTGATGTTGAGCACCTTTTCACGGGCCTGTTGGCTATCTGAATATCTTCTTTGGAAAAATGTCTATTCGTGTCCTTTGCCAATTTTTTAATTGGATTATTTCTTCGCCTGCTATTCAGTTGTATGAGTTCTTTATATATTTCGGATATTAACCCTTATCAGATATACGATTTGCAAAGATTATTTTTCCATTTCATAGTTGCTTTTTCATTTTGATAGCTTCTTTTGCTGCACAGAAGCTTTTTAGTTTGATGTGTTCCCACTTGTTTTTTATTTTGTTCCTTATGCTTTAGGTGTCATATCCAAAAAAATAAGTGCCAAGACTCAAGTGAAGGTGCCTTTCCCTTATGTTTTCTTCCAGGAGTTTTATGGTTTCAGGTCTTACATGTAAGTCTGCCAACCATAATTCCCACATCTGGGAAGCCTGAGTCCTGACAGGCACGGGCTCCCTTCTGAACCATTCTTGTTGCAACTAAGGAGGTTTGGTGACACCACAAAGGTGGCCCAGGGTGAAGCTTGCCCAGTGGATGACTAGCCGGAGCCCCCGGGCCTCTGTATAAGAGCCTGTTGCGAGGTACAGAGAGAGGAAGGCAGAGTCCATAGGGAGAAGCAGCCGAGAGGCACGTGAGGGAAACCTAGGCAGAAGGCAGTGAGGAAGGAAGGACAGAGGAAGGT